GAACTCATTTATTAAATCTAGTAGGTTTTTTCGGTTGAGTCTTTAGGATTTTCTATGTATAATGACATGTCATCTGTGAATAATGACAGTTTCAACTCCTCCTTTTAATCTTTTTAAGAGCATTCTACATATACTACATAATCAACCTCTCCTTTAAATCAAAACAGTTCCATAAGATGCAAATAAAAATCTGTGACAGGTTTAATATAGTTTTGATCATAATTTACAGATGAGCTTTGCAAGTAGGGGTCAGAGGGCATTAATTTTTCCCATAGTTAAGCTAAAATAAACATGTTCCTTCTAGTCATGATTACATTATTAAACCCCATTACTCACACTTAATCACAGTACTTTTTGTTTAAAAAAATATAATACAATGGTATGCAAAGCAGTAAATTAAGCTCTTTATTTTATCTATGATATTTTGGCAAAAACTCAGGAATATAACAAAAAAGGAAGATGTTGATTATAAATTTCCACTAAATTTAGTATCTGTTAACCAAAGCCTAAATTTCTATATTCTTCAGTTAAATAAGAGCTTTTACCCAAGTCTAATTTGTCTTTAAGGACAGTCATTTGTCTTCCGAATATTTGAAAAGATTTTTTAAAATAGTACTACGGTTGTTGTTTCTATAATTCTAAACTTTGATAGCAATTATAGTATACATTTCCTTTCTGAATAGCTTTTGAATTAATGTAAAATAGTATTTTTTAAGTTATACATGTGTAAACATTGTATTACCTTATTTCTCTTGTGTTGATAGTAGTGCTTATGTTTTAGTACTGTTTTTTGCTTCTGAATATTTGTGTAGCTTTTGTATGTAGTTTATCTACTGTTTATAAAATTTGATTTATAATAAATATTGTTAAAATGAAAATGGCTAAACACTTATTTTTAAAGAGCATTTTTATAACAAACATTTTATATGTGCAAAATTTGATCATGACACAAATTTTTAATGATAAAAATAGAATAAAATTTTCCAATCTTTGTCTCATGTTAATGAGAAGTGAGCTGTATTCCATGTATGTGTACACACAAAGCACTCTGGAAAAATACAAGGAAGTAGAAAACCTATTTTAATCTAAGGAATTTCCAATATAAGGCTTCCTTTGTTAAAAGATACATTTTATTATGATTGGATATTTACTAAGATTAGACATCTTTTCTATATTTAAGAAAATAATAAATTGTTTCTAATATACTTCCTTTTTTTAAGTATTATGTGTTCACCACCTCAAGTCAAGTCTCCTTCCATCATCATTTATCCCCCCTTTACCCTCTTCTACCTCCTCTGTGATATACTTTTCTTAGGTTTATACAAATGGATCTTATTTTTAAACTAGGGGCCCAGTGCACTAATTCATGCACCTTGAAAGGAACTGTGGGCTGCAAGGCTGTGGAAGGCACAGGGGCGGGTCTCGGCCCATCCTCTGCCCCTCCTGCATGGCCCCCAGTCCCCTGTCTGCCTGCAGCCCCGCTTCCACCACCACCGCTCCCATTCGTTGACAGCGCCGGCCCCACTCACACCCACTGAAATGCTGAGTAATTGGGGCTGGCACCAGCAGTGGGTGCAAGTGGGGCTGGCAC